TGCTCTCACTTGATCTTCAATAATAAAACACCCAAGAAGAGCTCAGGAGGGAAAGGGTCAATAATAATAATAACTGAAAGCAACAAGAGAACTAAGAAAGAGGCTTGGAATATGGAAGAGACGTGTTGTGACTTAATTTCTACTGTAGGCTACCAGTTACTATTCAGGTTGAATAATAATAATAATAATAATAATAATAATAATAATTATTATTATTATTATTAATATAGAAAAAAAAAAATAATAAGAATAAAAGAATAAAAAAATAAAATAAAATGACGATATGAAAAAATTAATATTTATTATTATCATTACTACTACTACTACTATTATTATTATTATTATTACTACTACTACTACTAATAATAATAATAATCTATGTTAAATGAGTATGGTCTTAGGGTTTTTTTGGGGTTTTTTTACAAAAATGATCAGTGGAAAATATCAGGAAGCTATTTCTGAACTTAGATCTTTGGTTGGGACCCGGAAGGAAATGTTTATACAGCAGAAATCAAAGGAATTAATAATAATAATAATAATAATAATAATAATAAGAAGAAGAAGAAGAAGAAGAAGAAGAAGAAGAAGAAGAAGAAGAAAGAAAGAAAGAAAGAAAGAAAGAAACATAATAAAAAAAATGATGATAATGAATGAAAAAAAAATGCTGGACGATAAATAAGTAAATAATAATGGAGAAAAATAAAGAAACGTCATAATAAGAAAGCAGCAGTTTTGACCACCCCGGCAAGGACCGGCTATGCCACACACATTGATTGAACCACCCTCATTCCCCTAAAATATTCCATTGGTGAGATGTAAATTCCACTCGGACAACTTCTTTCTCACGAACGGCTGAATTATGGAACCGACTCCCAAGAGGATGCTTTCCCGATCACTACAATCTTAACCTATTCAAATCTAGGATCAACCGTTATCTTCCCCACATATTCGCATAAACCGTGCAAGGTACTCTGTATCCCTCTACCTCGAGCGCTTCTTGGGCCTTGTACAGGATGAACATTATTGTAAAAACAACAACAACAACAACAATAATAATAACAACAACAACAACACCAATAGAGAAACTAACGAAGAAGAAACATCGTGAGAAGAATCTGATGATAAGAAATTAATAATAAAAGAGAAAAATAAATGATAATCATGAATGAAGAAGAAAAAAATGAAGGACAATAAATAACAAGAACAACAAAAGAAGAAGAAGAAGAAGAAGAAGAAGAAGAAGAGGAAGAAGAAGAAGAGGAAGAAGAAAATGAAGAAGAAGAAAAAGAAGAACAAGAACAAGAAATGAATAAATGTACAGATGTAAAAAAAATAAAATAATTAACAAATAAAATTTTCGTACATGTTAATTAATATTTCTCTTGCCTTTTTTTAAAATTTCCCGAAAAACGCCAACTACTTGTAGTAAACGCCATCGAACTTTCTTCATATCCATTTCTTCTTGTTTCACTTCTTTTTCTTAATTTGGCTGTTTCTTTCTTTCTTTCTTTCTTTCTTTTTCTTACTTTCTTTTTTCTCTCTCTATTTTTTTTCATTTTTTTCTTTCTTTCCTTCTTTTTCTTTCTTTATTTTTTCTTTCTTTTTTCTTTCTCACTTTCTTTCTTTCTTTCTTTCTTTCTTTCTTTTAATCCTTTTCCTTTCTTCTTTCGTGTTTGCCAAACAACCGGCACCATCCATTTCTTCCTTATTTCCTTCCTTCCTTCCTTCCTTCCTTGATTCCATCCATCTTTTTTTCTCCTATTTTTCTTTTCTGTGATCTGCTTTTTCATTCGTTTTTCTTTTTACTGGACTAAAATATTTCTTTTTTTTTTTCCCCACGTTTCTTGTCCATTTCTTTCGGCACTACAAAATTCTACCCAGTTTCCCGGGTGTGGGTGGGGGCTATGAATTGTCGCCACTACACCTTGAGAGACCAATAAAGAAAGTGGTTTTATAATTATAAAATAAAGTTTAATTTAAAAAAAAATAAAATAAAATTACCTACCTACAACGAAATCAAACAAAATTTTTAAAAAGTTCTTTTTAAGAAATGAATAAACGAATAGTCAGTATTAGTATTAGTAATAATAGTCGAAACTCAAAATAAGTTACTCCGTAGTAAAACAACTAGTAGCAGTAGCAGTAATAGTATTATTATTAGTAGTAGTTTAAACAGTCGATGTCATTGTACGAACAGTAGCAGAAATTTCTATAGCGGTAATGTCAGTCGTCGGTACCCGCTAGGAAAAGTCTCAGCCAATCAGAATTCGCCTGTTAAAAAGTAACCAATCAGCTGCCAAGTTTTCTGCGTTCTTCTGTCCCATTGCCCGTCGAGTAAGTGTTGTATGTAACCTCGCCACCCCCTGGATTGTGTTTAGTTTTCAGAAAAGCTATCTGCTCGGCCGACAGAAAGGTTTACTACTATCGTAAGGTCGACATTCATCTTATTCCTAGATAATACGGCTTTTATTTTTTTTTACGCCAGAAAAGCATTTGACGG